AATTTTTTTTGAAGTCAAAATTTTATCCGATTAGGATGTAGTTGATCATAACTAATGAAAAGATTGAACATGCTAATAGGAAAGGAGTATATTTCACCACTTATTCTCAATTGATGATTGATGTGGAATTTGTTTTGTATTTTTTTTAATTATGGAGAAAGAATTGATTAGGGAGTCGATTGTCGTGGAGATGGGGATGAGGATTTGAGTTTTTTATGAAGTCGTGATTATTTTTTTTTGGCGAAAATAGGAGGTAGAGTTGGATTTGGACTGCATTTGCCTTTTAAGTCTATGAAACTGATGTGTAAATAAAAATTTATTTTAAAAATATGATGTGGAAATGCTACATGACAAATGGTGGTTGTGTTTTCTCTTAAGTGTGGTTTTTGTTTCTAATATAGCAAGATATAAGGACGTCGTTTGCTTGGAAGGGAACACCCAAAGGAAACGTCGTTTACTCCGACAAAAACTCCCAAAGGAAATGTCGTGAAAATGATACGAAGAAAGAAACACAGCAACAGAAAGACTCTCGAAGCCCAAATGACGCAGAAGAACTGCGAAAGAAAATTTATTGTTCAAATTAATTTTTACATCCTCTTTGAGCTGTAAGCAACCGGCTTGCTTTGAATTCAAGTCGATCTTTCTTCTTGCTTTATACTTATTGATCGAATCATTGAACCTGTGGTAGATGTTAGATAAACAAAATTCAGACACGTTAATATCTCCACCGATATCATTATTTAGTCGTTCGCATTTTCCATCCAAAAGTGATATTTGTTGCTATTAAGAAAATATTTCAAGAATAGGTACTATTTGCATGTGTTCATCTGTTCATTGAAACAGTATGGCATCCGATTTTTTCATTACTGTGTGTAACTATCTGTAAATCTAATTTTGCGAGATAAAAAGGATTAATATTTCAGTTGTGAACACATATAATTAAATAAGAAGAATGTCTTCAACTTTGAATATTACTACATCTCAAACAAGAGCGATTCTCCGTGTAACCGAACAATCATAATTTTAGCATCTAGCTGTAAGTACGTACGATGATGCGACTAAAATTAACATTTTCTCAAAACTCATCACAAATATGGCGTCAGTATCACCCAACTGACAGGCGAAGCCCATTTCGTATTAGTGGACCTTAGAGGAGGGTTCAAAAAGATAAAAAATAAATTAATCAATGCGACACCAGTATTCAATCACATAAACTTTCAGTTGATTAAATCACATAAACTTTCAGACCTTTATATTAGGCAGAGGAAGGGAACGACGCCGTTTGCTTCGTTGCCCGGGGGGTGGGGGGTGGGAGGTGATTTTACCTTTTAACCTGAAAAATTTAGGGTTAGTTATTGGGGGGTTTTTACTTATTACGCTGGAAAACTTGCGGTTGTTCATACACTGAATTTGTGAAATTTCGTTTTTACCCCTAATAAGTGACTTAATACTGGTCGTTGGATCATACCAATCCGATGGACGGGATCGATTTGAAGGTGGCCATGAATATTTCTTGGGCATTTAATTTCTTACCTACTGTGTCTTTATATTACGTATAATATAAGGATTAATGGGGCAGAAGATGTATACTGCATAGGTTGTCAACGTGTGGGTTTTTAAAAAAAAACCTTTTTTAAGTTTTTTTTTGTCACCTTTCCTTTTTTTCTAATAAAATTTACCGTGAATGGGCAATTTCTTAGTTAATTTAGTTTTATCTATCAATTTATAATTTTATATTAAACAATACTATTAAATGATGGAGTCGTGTAGTTACGACACGTGGACTTGGCTCTCTAATATTTCGCCACGTGGATTAGCCTATCTAATTTTACGACATGCGTCTGATTGAAAACTCTCATTTAATATACATAAAGATAAAATATATATATATATATATATATCTATATATATTTACGAAACTAAATTCTACCTTCTTTACAAAATGTGCCAATTTCAATTTACGGATCTTTCGTCTCCTTTTGGTTTTTTGTTTTCTTTTATTAAGAAACTAAATTCATTCCTTTACAGTTAAACATCTATAAATTAATACTGTTAGAACTCTAAAAAATTATTAAAATATCGATGTATTAATTTATCGTTAAATTAATAATTATTAATTTATCGATAAACTAATAGGAAAATTTAGCTAAAGGGCAGTAAAACTTGTTAAATTAATAAAAAGGGTATGACCAAAAAATATTTTGATGAAGGGCGGTAATTTATTTGTCAAAAATTTCAAAATAAGAAATATTTTAAATTGACAATATCACCATTATAATTTTTTTAAAAAATAATACTAAAATATAAGAAAACCTAAATCGTTTTTAATGGATTGAGATTATTAACAGATCTCCCAACGCCGCAGAATCTCTGTAACTCAGAACACCTAAAACCTACGAGCACGGGATAAAAAGAGTATTGGAGAACTGGAATCTATCCCAGAAGAACTTGAGAGTTGTTGAATTTTTTTTCCTGATATTTAAAGAACTCAAAATCTACAGTCGACCAAGGATCTTTTATTCGTGATTTGATTGCAACTTTTCTTTTTGTGAACCTTGGATTTGATAATCATTGATAAATTCCGAAAACGGTGGTAGGGGATGATTTCTAAATTCGATCATGCCAAAAAAATTGGAATTCTGATTTGATGATGATGATTTGTTTTCTTGTGCTGCTTTTGATTTGACGATGATGATGATGATGATCTGATGTTCTGAATAGATGATTATGAATCCTATCCAATATGGGAAGCAGCCACTGCCTCATTCCTCAAACAAAGATGAGAAGAAAATACTCCAGCTATTGTTCATATATACCGCCTAACCCAAATGGTAACCCACTAAGAAGAGTCAATTATATTTTTTTAAAAAAAATACAGAGACTATCATCATTAGCTTAAGTACTGTGAAGATTGAAGAGACCATTATCAAATAAATTCGAGTTGTATGAATTTACCGCGAAGAATCCAATCGGGTTTCATAATTCTAATAGTAGCCAGTATGAAATTTAAGACAGCTTTATGCCTTCATCAATGGTGATCATCTACAGGTTCTGGAATGAAAATGAAAAACTAAATTCAGTTCAAAAGATTTAGGCTTTCAATTTTAATTTATTTTTTTGTATAAGAAATTGAGGGTAATCTTGTCAATACAAAATATTTTTTATCTTAAAATTTTTGCCAAATAAATTACGGTCCTTCATAAAAAATATTTTTTAGTCATACCCCTTTTATTAATTTGATCGGTTCTACAACCCTTTATCCAAATTTTCCCTAAATTAATAATATTAATTTAAAGAAAATCCCAAAGAATATTAATCTTTTAAGCTGGCCATAATAAGATTTATATTATTTTATTCATTTATATCCCCTATGCATTAGAATTTAATCTCCACCATCATCTTAAATTTTATCACATACCCAATCTACGTAATATGCCTATACTAAAAGAGATTTGACCTTTTTATGGGAAATCTTTAACCTCTCGTCAATGGCTGGATACATCATGCAAAAAATTTATAATATCTACAATTTCTTTAGATATAAATTTCAAGAAAAACCAAAACATCGGTAGATTCATATTTTACTAGCTTATATATATATACATATATATATATATATTATTTCAAGTCATTATTAATTTATGATATTGACGGGACCTATATTTACGTAGGGATTTTTTAAAAAATTATTATTTTATTATTTTATCGATTGTCTTTGTTTTTTGTACTGGTCCCGACTTGGGATCGGAAAAAATTATTAATTTATCGATATTATTAATTTATCGATTATTAATTTATCAATGATCTAGTATATTTGGAAACATATACTGTGTGACTGTGTCCTTCTCCTCATCAACTTCCTTGATTATCTGAGATATATTTTCACGAGGGAAGTGATTATGCCAAAACAATTTTTAGCATCTAGGGTAATTTTGAAATGAAATGACATAATTACCTATCATATAAAAATATCAATACTTATTAATTATTATCATCTCTTCACCTCTCGTTGCTGCTGCTCAAACTCGAAGCGGCAAACCTTTCAGTGCTAGGTTGCTGCGCCGCCGCGAGAGTAAAGAAGGAAGCTAATTCCATCTGCCTCATAGGACGCCTTGGTTTTACTCATTAATTCCAAGAAAGAATAGAATAACCAAATAAATTTACCGTTGGGAAAAAAATTGTTTGCAATCTTCAATACTATAAAGAATAGCCAAGTTCCAAAACCCTCTGCTACAATGAAGCAATTTTACATTTTCTGTTTTGCTAAATTAGAGATATTTTTTTCCCAGAATTAACATGCTATCTCTTCCTCTCTGGTAGAAGTGCACATAAAATTGAATGGGTTTTCACCATAACATTGGTGTTGTGTAATTTCAACTTATCCCGTTTCTAACTTTCTTTACCGAATACCAAATAGTGGAAACCCTTCCCTTCAAAATAATAATAATAATAATAATAATAATAATAAATAAACAAATAGTGGGAATCCTCTTCTTTGAATTTGGAGCTTCCAGTAATCTGTAGAACAAATCCTACAATTCCTTCCATAATCAACCATATGAAGATGAAACTGAATTGCGTCGGGAGGAGCCGGCCGTGGATTTGAGGGGCTGCGGAGACTGAAAAATTATGATAAGCACCATCATTTTTAAGAGGGGTGAATGTCTTTTCATGATAATATTGGTCTGAATGCTAAAAGTTGTTTTGGCAGAATTAGTAGCCTTTTCATAACCAAGTTGTTCAATTTCTCATAACTTCCTTGATTTGATAATCTGAGATTCCATAAAAATTGCGATACTGTGAGATTCCATAAAAATTGCTGAAAATTAAACGTGTTCCCTCTCATTGGATCATATACTCATTCCAATAGATGATAAATACTACTTCTATATTAGTAACTCTTTTTCTTCAAAACAAAATTAAGATTTTTTTTCACCATGATCTTGCAAGAATTATGTAGATATTTTCATCTAACTTTGAATGCGATTTTTTTTTTCTTTAAAAATACTCCTACAAAACTAGTACAGCAACACAAATGAAGAGAGAATGAATGTATCCGCTTAGCACACGCCACGTACTTCTCGTACGGGAAAATACACATAATAATATATAAAACAGTAATAATTTTGACTAGCTAATTTATTAAAAAAACTACTAAGAATTAGCCCATTTGGCCATCAAAGACATGCAAGAAGCGCCAAGGAGAAGTGCAAAATTGGCCCCAAGTTGGAGCCTAAAGTTGGTTTGGAGTTTAGGGTTCATGAAATCAGCTGCAAGAAGATCAACTAGGGCCATGTAAATCAAAATCCCAGCTGATATCGAATTCAGAATCCCTTCAACAAGCAGTGTTGTTGGGCTGTGCCCACTGTATTTCTTCCCTATCAATATCCCAATTCCAATTCCAGATGGAGTCGTCAAAGAGAAAAACAATACCATGATTGCTTTGCCTCGGCCCTTGAAGTTTGCCTGCTCCCAAAAATCATCATATATATAAATTAGTAAGGAAATCATCTTGGTTTCTTTTGTCGGAACAAGATTAACATTAATAAAATATTTTTTTTGACACTTATATTCACTTTGTCTTTTTGAGTTCACCCATCGCTTAGTTGCAGCATTCATTAAAATTATGAAATTGTTGGACGTTAATAATAATCTCTGGAGAAATTAAGCTCATTTATGTTTGATAAGGTTGTGTTTCTGAAGAGTATCATGGAAATTAAAGGAATTTTTTTTAACTGACCCGGTTAATAGAAGATATGATGGTTGCTTCGGTAGATGGATTCTCGAAGATTTTTTTGATGTAAAGTCTTATACATTCCAAGGGATAAGATCAGTTACGCAAATACACTGTAGTTTTAAAGAAAATAGTTCAGGTAATTGTAAAGAAAAAACGGAAAAAGAAGAAAATAGTTCAGATGAAAACTCAATAAAATGCATGATAGCGGGAAACCTGGTGGGAGTTAATGTATATTTGTACTCCCTCTGTTCCAAAATTATTGTCCAGTTTGAGATTTCACTTTTAGTACAATTTGAACTAGAAATAAAAATCCAAACTGGACAATAATTATTGGACAGAGGGAGTGCTAATTACTACCACTTAAATAAGTAGCCATTTCCTTTGGTACTAGATGGATGAGTATTTCTTTAATTTTTTTATTTGGATGATTGGATAAGATACAAAAAAAAAAAAAAGAAAAAAAAAGATATGAATTAAAATCTCAATCTTCACACTAAAGTCTTACAGGATACCTATGTTTATTTTAGAAATCTCAAATTCTTTTGGAATCTTCTTTATTGTGAATAAATATTCTTATTACATGGTAATTTATTTATTTTGTGACACTGATTTTTTTCCCAAGTACGGAATTGAGGAGTGTGAATAAATAAAGATGATATGGTAATTAATTAGAATAACAGTAGTTCATGAAGATGATAATCATAATCAAATAATAACAATAACAATAACGGAAGATATGTTCCGACACCATTTCATCTGTCGATCTGTTAGATAAAATCGTATCTCTTACTATCTCATTTATTTTTCGGGATAAAATCTAATCTTAACAACCTAAATCCCCATATATAGAGATCTCTTACATTATATTTTTTCCTCACACAAATCATTCATCGAATTTATTCACTGTTGATTTTGCTTAATAGAAAAAAAAAAGATGGGAAAGGGAGGAAGTTCTGGAGAAAACTAGGCTGCTTGGCTATATGGGGTCAACGATCTAATTAGGATTTTGCCGTACAAGCTTCCTCCTCTCGGTGCATAACTCTGTGTGTGTGTGTGTGTTTTTTTTTTCTCAAATTACATCTATAAATAAAAAGATCTACGTGTTTTCTTCTTCAAATATTTAGTTCAGTGATTTTTTTTTCTTTGGTTATTGTGACCATGTTTTCTTTTTTTTTTTTTTCTTTTATTTCTCCAATTACATATAGAACAATCTACGTGTTTTTCTTTCTCAACTTTTATAGTTTAGTGATTTTTTGTTTTGTTTTGTTTGGATATTGTATATAGGTCCTCGTGATGTGAGGGTAAGGATGAAATCCGTAGGAATTTGTGGGAGTGATGTTCACTATCTCAAGGTAAATACATACACTGTTCTCTTCATTTCTCAATTTCGAATTTGTTTTATTTGTTGAAGTTAATTAATCGTCAAAAATTTGTTCATTTGTTAATTAGACGGGGAGCTGGAGCTGCGGACACTACGTGGTGAAGGAACCAATGGTTATCGGCCACGAGTGTGCCGGGATCGTCGAGGAAGTTGGATCGGCAGTCACCCATGGGTTGCGCTGGAACCAGGCCATGGTTGTTGGCGTTGCGACCGGTGCAAAGAAGGCAGATACAATCTTTGCCCTGAGATGAAGTTCTTTGCCACACCTCCGGATCATGGCTCTCTTGCTGATCAGGTAATTTAAATAATACACTATTTATTATTCATAGTACGTTTGCTTACAAGGATAAGATCCGTGATGATTTATGATGGATAGAATCAATGCATTTGGTTGATCCGTGATGTTTTCGTTTGATGTGGTATCCGGTTTTTAACTTTTTTTTTTTAAAAATGTTTATAAAGTATTTTCGGGAAAGCTAATAATGAGTTTGAATTACATCAGTTTGTAGTCACCAATCAACTTTTGTATGATATCATACAACTTTTAGTCTTTTGCTGGGAAGCACCGTGCGTGCAATTTTTTTTTAAAAAATACTCACTCCGTCCAAAAAAAAGTTTCAAAATGTACAACTTTTTTAATTTAGTCAAACCCAACAAGGTACAACTCAAAATATCCAACAAACTTCAGTTTTTACTCCGGGTGAGAAAGTTTATTTTTAACTTCAAATTAAAAATCTATAATCTGGTTAATTATTTTCTCTCCTCGTCTCTCTCTCACGTTTCAACGCCGAATCTCTCTGTCCGCCGGGCGGGTGACCATTCCAAATCAAAAATTTTCAATTCTCCGGCATACTTTAAACACCACAACGGCGGCTATTTTCGCACCTTGTCAACTTTGCTTCGATGATTTATTTTTGTCTTACTTGTATTGGAGGATAAGGATCTGATGATGGGATCTCTTTATATTAACCCTTCACCGCCTGAGTTCATCAAATCCAATTTAGGCATGAGTTGCGGTTTGTTTGATTTCTTTTTTTTTTTTTTGTTAGGACTGATATCTTTAAAATGTGATGATTGATTACCCTATTATTGAAAATGATGGGTTTTATTTTGGCCGTGTTGTTCTGGCCGGAGAGAAAATGGAGACTTGAATGAAATCACAGAGCGCAAAGAAGAAAGAATGTTGATTGAGGGAAATTAAGTCATTTTGTTTGATTTTGACTTTTTTGAAATTGGACTATTTTTTTGGGGACAAAATTTTTTTATCAAACTGGACTATTTTTGTGGGACGGAGGGAGAATATAACTATTTGCAAGTTTTAATTTCGATTTTTGTATGATGTTTGTTTCTCAATCCTTATTTATATGATATCTGTTTATGATTGTTATTAATATACTATTGTATTAACAATTTATCTGATTAAACATTGAAATTTTTGTTTGGTTCCGGAATTGTGTAATAGATCGTGCATCTTGGAGATTTATGTTTCAAGTTGCCCGAAAATATGAGTTTGGAAGAATGGAGCCATGTGTGAGCCTTTGAGTGTTGGTGTTTAAGCTTGCCGTCGTGCTGAAATCGGCCCGAAAACTAATGTGTTGGTTATGGGGGCCGGTCCGATCGGACTTGTTGCACTTTTGTTCGCTCCGCTCGTGCTTTTGGTGCTCCAAGAGTAGTTGTTGCCGATATTGATGACGATCGTCTCTCAATCGCAAAGAAACTCGATGCATTCGCCACCATAAAAGTGTCCACCAAACCTGAGGTTGGTTTTCATATGTGGTCTGTGTATCGAGTTTTAAAATTTGTATTAAAACTTAAATTGAAACTGTTTGTAATTCTATTTCCTTTATTTTTTAATTTCCTTTTCTTTTATTTAGGATGTTGAAAAAGAGGTGGAGCAAATCCAAAAGTCTTTTGGAGGACTAGGTATCGGTGCAACCCTAGATTGTGTCGGATTCACCAAAACCATGACAACTCATTATTGGCCACTCGAAATGGTGGCAAAGTTTGCCTCGTTGGAATGGGCCATTGCGACATGACACTTCCTCTCACGCCGGCGGCTTCCTGAGAGGTAGATATCCTCGGCATTTTCCGATACAAGAACCCTTGGCCACAATGCATTGAGTTCATCAGCAGTGGAAAGATCGATGTGAAGCCTTTAATCACACATCGTTATGGTTTCTCTCAAAAGGAAGAGGAAGAAGCTTTTGAGGTGAGCGCTCGTGGTGGAAGTGCTATCAAAGTTATGTTCAATCTTTAGAGGAAGATTAGTACGTATGGAAGAAAAGGAAGGATAAATAAATCAACGAGGAGGAGCTTTTGGTTGTGAAATTTCCTTTTTGTTTTTTTAAAGAACATCTATGGTCAAAATATGCCGTAGAACTGTCTACTTGTTTGATTCATTTTTTGGTTGAATATTAAATTTATTATTATTAAGTTCGTATGGGTTTTTTTTTTAAAAAAATTTGATTTCACTGTCTCCTTTTGGGGAAGGAAAATGTAGTCACAATATTTTGCCAATAAATGGAGAATGAAAAACCAAGAAAAGTTTTAAAGATGTTTTAAACTGAAGAAGAAAATTGACTAGACAGATCACTTTATATTGAATTGAGAATGGCCCGCCCTAGAAAAGGAACCAATTCAGATGAAATCAATCAATCATCCACTCTGGGGACCTACTAGACTTAATCATGAAGTGGAATTTTAAGAAACATGTTCCCCTGGACGCCTAATATTGACAAATAATGAAATAGCCAGTAGAGAACAATAATATTCAATATAAGACATTTTGATTTGTCTAAAATTTCACTTATTATACATTTTTAATTGATAAAAAAATTTTAAAAATATAGTTTTACATTTGTTTTGTTCTCTTGATTGCTACACAATATTTTAAAGGTTTTTTCGTCAATTAAAAATATATATTAAGTGAAATCTAAGACAAATCAAAATATCTTATATTAAAGACACGAGAGAGAGTACAAGTTTGTGAATAATGTTGCTGCAACCATGCACGACGAACAGCAGTTACAATTCTGTATTTTTGTATCATGATCATTTTCTTTCCGATTACAATATATATTTCACAAAATAAGAGTAATGTTTATTAAAATTATTTTTTAGTATGTTGAACTCTTACTTTGCCATGGTAAAATATTTTGAAAGAGCAAGTATAATTTCTACAATATTTTTCTCAGACAGAAAAAATGGTAAAAATATGATTTTGATAAAAAAAAAAAAAACTGATGATTGCTCAATCCACTTAGAGATCTTAACAAGAAGAAATTCATTTCACTGGAGTCTGAACAAATATGAAATGTGAAGGAGGTTGTAAAAAAAAGAAAAGAAAAAAAAAGTGAAGACCTCCTCCTCAAAATTTATTATGATCGTAAATGCTTGTGTTCATTTATAATAGTACAGGATTGTTTATTTTGTATTTTTACTTTTACTATGACTTGTATTAATCATAAAAAATCAAATAAAAAACCATTTCCGAACAAACTATCATTATTTTTGCCACTGCTTTCTTCAATATCTCTCTCCGCCAATGACTATAGCAACCACGAGGTGGGATCGGGAACGATTGTCATTTATGTATGGAGACGTAGGTACATGCTTGTGTGCTTTTTAATTTTGAAAATGTGTCGACATTATTAATTTGGACTTTGGAGGACACAAACTTAAGGTATTCTTGTAAATTGACAATATGCCCAAAAGGAAGAAACAAAATAGTAAATGGTGACAAATTAATAGTGACAATTTATATGATGTATTTTTTCAGTTTCAAAATGATTATGCATTTTTTTTATATTATTTGGATATAATGAACAAAATAATTATTTTGTGATGGAGCAAGTCATAAAATATAGCTGTATATTTTTGCATTCAAAGTGAAGGTTGGATAAAACATTTTATAATTAAGTTAGAAGGAATGCGATACGTACCTGAGAAATACATCCACCAAGTCCGATGCCCTCAAAAAATTGATGGAAACTCAAAGCTGCAACCAAGGGTTTGATTATTTTGGGATTTTGTGTTGCGCCCATTGTCATCCCTATTACCATCGAATGAACCACAATTCCCAGTTCCAAAACCTGCATAATTAATCAACTAATTAACCAATTTTATCTACTATACTTAATGTTGATTCTTCTTCTTTCTTTTTTTTTCTTTTTGAAAATGGTACACGTATACTCCCTTCATTTCAATTTGTAGGTCGTTTTAGGTTTGGAGAGATTTTTCAAAATGTAGGTCGCTTTATAAATTCTAGACAAATTAATGACTATTTTTCCAACTTTACCCTCAATAAATGATGCTAATCTATTTTCATTTAGTCTTGTTTTTAGTTTTAATGTAATTAATGAGGGATAAAATAGATATTTAACACATAAATTAATTGTTGAATGATTGTCTTCTTAGTATATGTGTAACGTCTGAAGGTACTTACATTTTGAAATGGAAGGAGTATTAATCAGTAGTACCTAAACTATTACAATGACATGCATTATATGCCAGATTATGTAATTCTCCTACGTCATTGTTACTAACTTTAATAAGTTGGCAGGATTCAAAGGTTGAAAATAAAGCTAGTAGTAATGAAACAATCTCTTGCGCCTCATTAGGTACAAGTGCATTTCGCAGATTAGTTGTCAACACTTTTCAATCAGTATACACTTTGATTCTTCTATATAGATCGGTAGTATCCGCTCTTTGCTATTCCATAATGATGGTTTTATTTGTTGTATTAAAAATGATAAATCATTTGTTAACTGAAAGAAAGATCACTTCCTAATGGAAAGTCTCAAATGGACAATGTTTTTGGTTTCGTTTTTGTTGTAGATTTGAAATGTGTTTTAAGGATATTTTAAATAGGAATTAAAAAATTACGTGCATAGTTTTTTTTTTTTTTAAAAAAAAAAAGTTAATGATTTTTCAACCACCACCGGACCTCCATACGTCGCTCCTGCATGTTGGGGATTGGAGGATCGGTTTCTGGCCAACTTGGCCGGAATTTGGCTGAAATCGCAGGCCGATGGTGGTCCGACAGCGACGGATAGTGGTCTGGTAGTTATGGATAAAAATAATATAAAAAATAATATCAAGATAAATTTTAAGATGTAGGTTGAAAAATTGTATGAATATAATACTTATTTTATATTAGAAATTGAGTTTAAAAGGTGGTTGGAAATTATTTTAAGTTTGAGAGGTTGGCCATACAATCTTTTACAACGAAAACCACCACAGAGACAAGAAAAAATATTACAATTTCGATAGCATATATGATAGATGTGTAAGTTGAGAAATGATGTTAAACTTAAATTTAGCCACAAAGTAAGTACCAATATATTTTTTTCTCCTAAAGAAAAAAGAAAGGATAATTAAGGGATCAAAATTTTGTTGTCATCTAGTAGGGTGGATGTGAAGGGACCAATATATTTGGAGAGGGAAAAAAAAAAAAGAAAAAAGAGTTTGTGCTCTTTCCTTCCGTCGTTCTCCCACGATCTCTCCATCCCCCAGCCAACCCCGTTTCCTTATCAGTCCCCACTCTAAAATTGAATAAAATAAAATTTTTACAACGAACAGTATCTGAATTCTGGATTCGGTTTTTGACTTGATTAATTCTAGTGTCAAATTATAAAAATGAGAACAATTTATAAATAGAATATGTGACAAATTAAACATGTGATAAACATGTGAACGATTTATAAATTTATTCAGTTTGGGTTATCAAATTTACAAACTTTCCTGCATTCAAAAAGTCTCACTCCTGTTGAAAATCCCATAGTTTCTCAGACATTCTTAATATACCCTCTCTGTTACGGGAAGAAAAAAATAATAAAAATTTATTGAACTATAAGGTGACAAGGCATAAATTTCCCAATGCATGTAAACAGTGATTTATTTGTCCCTTGCCTTTGTTTGTCTGAGGAGGTTTACTCGTCTTTCGTAAGTTCCACTAAACAAACCAGAATCTCTATGGCAAGTACAGACACTAGCTAATGTTTTACTCGCTCTCCGTCCTATAATTATTGTCTGGTTTGGATTTTTATTTCTAATTCAAATTATACTAAAAGTGAAATTTCAAATTGGATAATAATTTTGGGATAGAGAAAGTATGATTTTGATTTTTGTTTTAGTTCTGATTTGAAAATGTTAAAAAGTGTGATGAATATAAAAAACACAAGACACGACAATAAAACAACCGCTAAAATAGGCTTTAAATGTTTCAAAAAATATGGACCATTGAAACACCAATTCTTTGTACCATTGAAAACAATATCTAATATGTATTTCCTCTTCCGTCTCAGAAAAATATTATACTAAACTATATCTAAACGTTTTTTCTTAAACGAAGAGTATCTTTTACCAAAAAGTAAAAGAAATGTAGATGTTACCTGAGATGTGATGCGATTATTGACACGATTTGACAAGTTGGACCTTTCCAACAAAATTTCGGGACCGTTATTCACATGATGATGATCAACAGCAACAGTCACTGAATGATTATTACCGTCATTATCAGCTTCCTCTTCAACATCATCACCAATATTCACTGGCTGTGCCTTCATCAGCTCAGCTCTTCTATGGTATCCAGCCACAAGCGCTTCCATCATCAGCGTCACAATGGCGGCCATCATAGCGATAAAACCCGCAAGAGGAAACCCGCCCCACGGGTTTTCCCCGAAGCATGGACTCGTGAAGCTCTCGAAAGCATCGGGAAGAATGTGAATGAACCCGGTTGCTAAGATCACCCCGGCTGCAAAGGCCTTAACTAGGAAATGTAGGCCGGTTTCGGGTTGCAAAGCTCTCACATTCTTGAGAATTATCGGGATGCAAACTCCGATTGAGCTCGCAACTAGGATGGACACCATTCCGATGATTTTGAACTGGAGGGCAGCATCGTTTTTGGTTTTGTCGAAGATTTGAGGTTCACATTTGCATGATGTTGCATAGGCTGAGTTTGGTAGAAATATCAAGAAAAGTTGTAAGAAGATGAGTGAGATTCTGTTTTTGGACATTGTAAGTATTTGAGTACGTACTGTTGAATAATTGAGAAAGAAATTGGGTCAATTATGTGGTTGAGGTTGAGGTGAAGAGATTGATTTAAAGGGCATGGATTATGAAGGAAAATGATGGGGTCTTTTTTTTTCCTCTTTTAGATATTATCTCACCATATCCATTATTATCAATATTGATTAATTGATTTAATTTGCTCGTTAAATTATAGTAACAGTGATGATGATAGATTGGTGATTTAGTTAGATTGGTGTAATATATGGGATTAGAGAGTTGTTAAATTGTGATTGGGAGGAGGAGCTCAACCATATCGGGAATCTAATTTCACGGCCGACTATTTGACATCCTTGGCGGCTCAAGGTTTGGGTGACTTGCAGTAGTTAGAAGGTCCACTACGGGGTGTATTACCGTGGTTAGAACATGATGTAATAAGGGTATTATACTCTAGAATTACCCGAATTTAAGCATTTGCCTCCCTCATTGTACCGAAGAGAAAAAAAAAAAAAAAAAGAAAAGAAGAAGGCGTTGAAAATGAAAGAAGAGTGAATACATAAGAAAAATGTGTGGCTTTTGCATATTTGCATTTGAACACATCTGTAAGACATAATGGGCCAAGTATATACAGTTTTAACTTTTAACTTGTGTGCGTATATGGGCTTAGCCAGACCATTTTTCTTCAATCTGCATCCTTCAAGGACCACATGATGGGCCTATCAGAAAAGAAGGACGCATTTGTCAGGTTCTCTCCTCTTTTTTTCTTTTTTGGTTTGTAATTTTGGTTAGAAATAAATAATTCTCCTCATTATGGGTTCATGGTGTATATTATCATATACTCCCTCTGTCTCAAAATTATTATCCAGTTTGAGACTACAGTTTTAGTATAATTTGAACTAGAAATGAAAACTCAAATTGGACAATAATTATGGGACGGAGGGAGTACTATAAAAAATAAATAAATGAATGGACAAAAGGAGAAAGAATCAAAAAGACGCAAAAGAAGAATCAGAAGATATAAATATAAAGGACTAGATACTTAGAAAATGTAGAAATTTTGTGGATTTATTATTTCTTACCAAGCTTTACAAGGTAAGAAACTATAAATTCGTTCATAATTATTATGTAGCTTCTTTAGTTGTGCTGCTAAAGTGCTAATGGATTTGATGGTTATCACTACTTATCATCACTCTTCGACTTCTATCAAGAGGATCTCAAACAAATAGTTTCAATATGACGATGTAATAAGTGCCTTGCATCAAGCAGTGCAGTCTATGTGTTAACAAACAATCTAACTTACTCTCCTAATTATTGCTCGGTTGCACCCATCAATAAAATGAACTCTGTATTCGTACGGTAGCTTTTCACTAATAAAACACCATTACAAATAAGAAGAATAAGGATATATTACTTGAATTAATTTACAAAGAAAACTAAAAATGAGAAAGGATAATTTAGACTAAATTACGTTAATCCAATTTGATGTTTTTCATCTAAGTTCTATCTTTGTCAAAAAAAAGATAAAAAATAAAAAATAAAAAATCTAAGCTCTATCCATTTAAGGTTAGATGTATAGTTTTAATTTTAGTTACATCATTTTTATTTTTTTTATCGTGATTTTGCGCCGTATGTATCAGTATAATAAAAATTAATTACTTATATTTTTCTATATTAATCCTAAATAATTGTCACAATTGTTATGCTAAATTAATGTATAAGAACTTTATTGAGAATCATCTTCTATATCTCACCTCTAACCACAAAATTGTGTAAGATGTTTTCTTTTTAAGGGTTGGATGGACCTAATATCTAAAATGTATTTGTACAAAGATCTTTTTTTTAGTCCTACCAGTTCAATATACAAAACACTTGCATATTTTGAACAGAATAAGTGTGATAATGTAATTGAACTTAAAAGACAATTTGACCATTTTCCAAATCTAATCTAAAATTAATCCTTAATTATCACGAAACACAGTTCAACTAAGTAGATTGTTAGTAGTAATACCCAATGTCCGAAAGTATGAAAGCAAAACTAGTCAACAAAGTCTTTGATTCTGAGTGACTCTGTGAGTGGGGGAAGAAGAAGCCCATTTAATGTCATTGAATGCCGCCCAACACAAAACAGTAGAATCAACCTAACAAAAGTCTGCCATGGATTCAGGATATGTACTCATAAATCAAAACCCTTTTCTCAGTTTCTACAATTCTTCTCTTCAATTCCCATACCTACACCCTCAGTATGTGCAGCAGCTGACTTCATTTTGATTCTAAAAGTAAGAACTTTATTGTGCCCCTCAACCCCCATCTTGTTATCAACTGCTTTTTTGTTCGTTATATATGCATTTGATAATTTGGATTTCTGATGGGTTTCATTTTTGAATTTTGTAGAAGCCCAGTTATGGAATTGAAGTTGTTGATGTTGTTCCAGCTTTGTTTGGTTTGCCTACTGATTCCGCTTGGTTCTTCCAATGCAGTGCGTAAAGTTCCCTTTTCCTTTACATGAAAAATTACAAGATTTTTAGCTCACTTTTGCATAGAGATAAAGTTTAGAGTGTTTGGAATTGGAAGTTATGAATTTGTACGGTTTGTGACTTGATTTTTTTTGGTCGCTTTTATTTGTTAGGTCTTTAACAGCTCAGAGAATGCGCCTTCAGAGAACCTAACTGATGGTTAGTTTTCCAATTCTAATGCTTCTTCGATGTTATCCTGCTGTTTAACTAGACCTTTCTTTTTCTACATTTGGATACTTCCCTGTCTTTTCATTTTGATGCTATCCCTGTTTGTCGTTGATCTGTCTAGACTAGAATAGAAGTTGCTTTTTGGCTATATAATGCAAAAATAAATGATAGTTTCCTAAGGTTTAGATAGATTACTAGCCTTGAGTTTAACGTCATTGCTGATATCGAGCATGAGCAGAAATATGTTTGGTTCATGATCCAAATTTCTGGTCAAGTGGTATAATTTCTGAACTTAATTTTTAGGATGAGAGTCACTGGATCACATACAATGTTCCATTCAAATGTATGCTTAAGTTCTCTTTCGTTATCTACTGAGAATTGGCTCATTATGACACTATCCGATTACGATCATAACGTTTTCTAAATATTCTTCTCTTTTTGATTCCCACCATTTGTTTATTTCCCAGTTTTGTGTTGGTTAGCATGCAATCCAACTAGCTCTTTTGCCTTTTCGTTCTATCTTAGGAAGCATTTTTTTTTGGTCTATGATGACCAGGATTAAGAAATCTAATGCAAAAACCTTCCCGCAACCCCAGCCCCCTAAAATATCTTTATCATTGAGAAAAAACTCAAGTTTTAATTTTTTTGTGCCCTTGTCTTCAATTTTATTTTCAGACTTAAACTGATGCCACTAAAAGTACTGGAAAAGCAACTTTGTAATCAGAGAAATTGTCACTACAGAAGTCTTTGATTGACTGATGCCATCAAAGGAGTGGCCACATTGTCTTTATTAGAAGTAAAATGTGAATATGCATGAATTGCAACTAATCAACTATTGAACTCAAACTTGTTAAGTTTTCTTTGGCTTGACACGCTACAGCTGCAAACTCTGCTGCATATTTTGTAAGCCGTGCATTACTGATTGCACCTGTTCGGAACGAATTTCATTAAATCTTTTCCCATGTTGTTGCATGTAATATCTAGTTAGTACTTATTTCACAGTTACTATGCTAAACATTTTTCATATTGTTTGCAAAATCAGCAACCTGCTATTCTGTCTGGCCTGGCGAGAAGAAGTGCTTACAGTACATGTCAAACCCGCAGTCCTGGGATCAGGCTGAAGCCAGCTGCATGAGCTATAATGGACATCTTGCTTCAGTGAGTTCGTTGGAGGAACTAAGCTTTTTGCAGAAGTTGTGTGGTCAGAATAATAATAGTTGCTGGGTTGGTGGAAGAGGCACTAATGTTTCAGTTGCAGTTAATTGGAAATGGTCGGACAATACATCTTTGTGGAACGAAACTGTTGGTCCCAGATTTCTTTCCAATAAAAGTTGTACCACTAGTGGTGCACCATGCTTTGGAAACAACACGGTTGATTTGTGTACATTGATAACCAATGAAACACAGCAGCTTATAGCTCAAAGTTGCAATATTTCTCATCCCTTTATATGCCTGCTGAACCCAGGTATGTGATCATTTGCCTTTGGGTTCTTGCTACTTGAATAGTCAACCTCTCTTCCCTGTATTTTTTTTTTTTGATGATGATTTGAACATCTCATAAAATTGGTGATAGTTCTGACTGTTTGTAAACTGTGGCTGATTTCAATTGAATTAATATGTCATTGCAGAAGAAAACTGTCACCACATGCGCTGCCACAGGGAATACCTCATTATACTTGCAGTAGTGAGTGGGTTGATTCTCTTCACTACTTTTGCCGTTGTTGGTTGGCTTCTTGTATATCGACGGAGTAAGAAACGCAGAAAATCACGCCGACCGTCAAACCCAGCTGAACTGGCACTGGTTCCTCCATCATGGAAAGTTTTTACTCGTGATGAATTAAAGTCAGTCACAAAGAATTTTAGTGAAGGGAACCGGCTTGTTGGTGATGCAAAAACTGGGGGCACCTATAGTGGGCTTCTACCAGATGGATCAAGGGTTGCTGTAAAACGGTTGAAAAGGTCCAGCTTCCAGAGGAAGAAGGAGTTCTACTCTGAGATTGGGAGGGTTGCCAGACTTCATCATCCAAATTTGGTGGCTGTGAAAGGATGTTGCTATGATAATGGCGATCGCTTCATTGTATATGAGTTTATTGCAAATGGACCTTTAGATAGATGGCTACATCATGTTCCTAGAGGAGGAAGGAGCTTGGACTGGGCCATGAGAATGAAAATCGCCACAACTCTTGCTCAAGGCATTGCGTAAGTAGAATTATTATCTCCCCCCAACTACAAGTACCCACAGTATTGTGTTATTTATGACATCTGGTATTCTCTTGTAAATCATGACTAGACTCTTGAAAGCTAATTAGCTCATAATTTCTAAATCCCAGGTAGAGGTTTTTGAAGGGATTGAAATAAATGAGTTGGATTAAATTTGGCAACCAATCTGACTTTGACCATAGATTGGAGCCCTTACCAAGGCAGTCTTTCCTATAAATATGAATATTAATTTCAGACTTTTTCCTGCTGCTATTTATCCTCCTATCTTCTCTTTTCCTGAACTCCCATATCTGCCATTTCGTGTTTCCTACTAATTCTTAGAGTTTCTGTGGCTACAACTTCTAAAGATGAACATCAACGAAGGTTAAGAATGCTTAAGTTCTCCCCCTTTTGTTAATGCAAGTAGACACTTTCCACTGCAATGGAGAGGATTCATGGGAATAGGAAACAGAAACATTTAGGTGCTTACACCCTGTTGTTTTTTTATAGCTCATTAACATGTAGTTTTTCAAACATAAATATTCCTTTTGCCTTCTTAACCATTACAGGTTCCTGCACGACAAGGTGAAGCCCCAGGTAGTGCATCGTGATATCCGTGCGAGTAATGTTCTCCTTGATGAAGAATTTGGTGCTCATCTAATGGGTGTTGGCCTATCAAAATTTGTACCGTGGGAAGTGATGCATGAGCGGAGGGTTATGGCTGGTGGAACACATGGATATCTTGCTCCTGAGTTTGTATATAGAAATGAGCTGACAACAAAAAGTGATGTTTACAGCTTTGGGGTTCTTCTGCTTGAAATCGTAAGTGGACGGAGGCCAGCGCAAGCAGTTGATTCTGTAGGTTGGCAAAGTATATTTGAATGGGCAACGCCCCTGGTGCAGTCTCATCGCTACATTGAGCTATTGGATCCTCTTATAACATCTTCTTCCATTCAGATACCTGAAGCTGGAGTTATTCAGAAGGTAGTAGATCTTGTATATTATTGCACACAACATGTACCTTCAATGCGCCCCAGAATGTCGCATGTCGTCCACCAGCTGCAACAGTTGACCCAACCATCTTCTTTGAAATGAGGTGCATTCCTCTTGTAACTTTGTTGAGCTTCAATCGGCGTAGCTACCTCCATCATTTGTTTCTTAGTCGCATTTCTCCATTTTTATTGTTTACCAAAGAAATTATTGTTCGATGAAGGTCAATGTTGGATTAGTAACTGAAAATAGTTGTAGACGGTTACTTTTACTACACAATTAGTGAGAGCTATTCCAGCCTAACAAGGTTTATTATTGAGTTTAGCTAGCTTTTGTGATGCAAGGAAACTCTTGTAGTAACTCCTGTAATTTAAACCAACATAGTAATTATGTATGGCTAGTAAGAATTTGTACTTTTTGAGTTTTGACTTCATGAATCTCTCTTGGCAGGGAAGAGCTATGTTTTGTTTGACTCTTATTGTGGAACGGATAGGGTTACTTATTGGTTATGAGATTTTGCATTAGAAGCAAGAGAAGACAACTCTAATTTCTCTGCTGCTTTATATTTTCTGTTCTAATAGAAAAGAGGTTTTATATTACAAGCTTGTTGATAATTCTGTACTAATTTACTTAACGAAATGAAACACGAGGCTGCTCTCAACGACAATTGAGGCTGATTAAATTTACACATTAAAGTTTGATGGATAATTACAGAGGATGGTTAAAAGAAGGAAGATGCTGGTTATAATGTGACAATAAGGTCTCTAGGAAGGCAAGCACAGCCATACTCGAGGCCCATACATCATCATCCAAAACATTTTCAGCAGGAGAATGGCTGATGCCTCCACGACAACGGACAAAGAGCATCCCCACCTGTGAAAATTGAAGTAGAACTCTTCAGTATAAACCCACGAAAGTGTAATTAGTGCCTTCGATTGTGTTAATGAAGACAAACCTTAGTTAGATGCGCCATTGCCATCGCATCGTGTCCAGCACCACTCATCAGTACAGGCACATCAAAAGCATACTCACCAGTGATTCTATTCACGGCAGCATAAGCTGCAGATTTCAGTTGTGAACTCAATTCATGGTCACAAACTACTGCTTTTGCATCATGCTGAAAAGAGAGAATGAGATTAGACCAACACATGATGAAGTTACTGCAGGATGGCACGTGCTATAGGAAGGGATCTCACACCTTGCGTTCAATTGTGCAAAGAACTGAACGACGATCACATATATGTTGCATTCTATTAAACAGTTCATGTAGAATCGCTTCTCGTCCCATGTCATCAATAGTACGCAAATCCACAGTGAATGTTACCTAAAATATGGCCACAGAATGGTAAACAAGATTCAAAGAAGAAAAGGCATGCATTCAAATTTTTAAACCTCTTCTGTAAGTAAAGTAGCAAAAAGTTCCATCGCAAAACTATGAACTTGCCAGATCTTTTCAAAACTATCAAGCTAGAGATATTTAAAGATTTACTGAGTATCACATCACACCATCTTACAAGAGAGTACTAAGACAGCAAATGTCACTTGCCTGGCCGGGAATGACATTGCTGGCACTTGGCCAGGTCGATATTTCCCCAACAGTGCAAACAAGAGATCCAGCAAGAGACTTAACCTCAGAGGCTTGACATTGACTATCATGAGACAGATAATCTTCCGGTTGTTTACAAAGACTCTCCAGCAAAACAATTAATTCTGCGGCAGCAGCCATAGGGTCCTGCCGCATGTTCATTGGAACAGTCCCTGCATGTCCCTGTGAACCTCTAACAGTCACCTGCAGGAAGTCACAGGCTAGTTTGAGAGGATTATTCAAAAGAGAAGTAGCCAAAAGTCAGTTGGTCATCAACAGTAATTTCAGGACTCAGAAGTTCCAAGAATCTAAATTAAACCACCACTCGAGGCGTAAACATTGGTTTCGATGTTTAGAAACAAAATCATACCAGCAATTCTAGATCAGGTGATACGGACATAAAAAATGGTAGAAGTTGTAATGTCTCAGTAATTTAGACAATTAGGTCTTCATTTATCTCAATCCCAGGCCAACTCATCTCTACAAAATCATTGTGTTGAACCTCCACCCAATTCGTGATTTCAATCTCCTTGATCATTTTATTACAATCAACACAGAGAGCCTGAAATGTCACCTTTCTGCATGGCTTGACTCAGACTCCAGGGTTACTAGTTATTGTCAAAAAGCTATGGTCTCAATGTTTATTGAGACTTGAGAAGAATCTCACTCCTTCAGAAAGTTAACCATGTTCCAACTGTCTAAACACTCTCAAAAGTGTAACCATAATTAGTGCTTTGACAAACTTCCAATCTTGGGGCCCCAAAATGGGGACTCGTGTTGAGTTTGACCATGTATCGAGTAGCTTAGAACACGTGACCTAAGTAAAGTTAACTTGTCATCGTGACCCCCAACAGAGGACCGATTCCATAATGGAACATGGATATTAATTGCATAGTCATTGAATAAAGTACCAATAACAGCACACATCTAAAAAAAGAGCAGAATACCTTCAATCGAGTCTGTCCAGCAATACCTTTCACCAAACCAAGGGGAAGACCAACATTCTCAAGAACAGGGCCCTGTTCAATATGAACCTGGGAACATAAATTGAAAGCAAGATGAGCAGTGTGGAACCACAGAAAAATGAGAATAATTTCTTGTAACTTTGAGAAATTGCACCTAGCATTTTACCTCGACATATCCCCAAACAGACTCTGGATCATATTTCAGCTGCAAAAGGTTCTCCTCTGTTGTTTTAATTGAGTTTTCCTTTAAAGCAGCTTGCACTGTCACACCACTGAATAGTAGCTCTTCATTAGGTTCACAGAACTAACAGTTGAGAAAGTCAAATTGACTATCTTGCTTATAGAAACCTCTTATCATTTATCTGAAGCACCGAGACCGGCAATACGCCAGCAATAGCTGCACTTCCCAAGAATGTTGTCTGAAACCTGACTCCTTCCTCATCACTAAATGCTACTACCTGATAACATTGGAAATCAAGACAAGCCAAATTGTCAAACAGATGACAACCTGAAAACTTAATACTTTTCAAAATACTTGAGCATCTTTTGTAAATTTTATAGAGGACTTGAATACCAATGCAAAACTATATGTTTGTCTAGCATGCATGTCAAAGGTAGATGGAAGATTGGTGTAAGGTTTATATTAGATACAAACACCAGCTGAAAGAATTTTTTTTCACATCAATAAGAAAATTGGTCCCGTGCTACAGATCCATCAATCAAGATATATATTTTTTTTCAGTGAGAAGGAGTCCACCTCATGAACCTAGCATATCAAAATGCAGAGGACGGTGCATACCTTTCCACATAGATGATACTACAACTGAGAACAATTCAAAGCAGAGAAACAAATAAGGGCTTCCCACACCCTGTTTTTTCATTATGATGAGCAACAAGGAGACGATTCTTTCTTCTTTTCTTTTCTTTTTTTTTTCCCTACCACATTAGATAGGTCAAGCAAGGGTAATTAGTCATGAAATTTATCATCTTCCATCCATCCTTCTGTTTCATTGAAGAGAAAATCAAGCTATGAGGGTTTCAAATGTTTTCTTTTATTCACATTTGCTATCACCAGGATTCCTCTTACGCCCACAATAATATGTGGAAGAAGCATCACACTAACTTTCCAAGTGCACTCTATAATTCATATGCTTTAAGAGTCAAAAGAAAACATTTTCCTAGGCAAAATGCTTAGGCAAGAAAAGTAGAAAGAGCACAACCTCATTAATTGATGTATAAAAAGCTGATAAAGCAATTACATTGAAGACTGCTTCTAACTTACCTCAACTGGCCTCCTAAGTTTCACCAATCTATTAGTCATCTTCAAAACCTTCAGAGCAGATATTGAAGAAATTATACCTAATGAGCCATCAAACTTCCCAGCATCAATAACAGTATCCTGTGCAGATGGAAAAAGTCAACCTTTTTAAGTTAGTCACGGAGAAAAAATAAAATTCAAGGAAGAATGACAGACAGTAAAAAGAATATTTGCTTCACCAAATGAGATCCGATTAATAAAGCCTTTTCACTTGGATTTATCCCTTGAATTCGACCATGAACATTACCCATTTGGTCTACCCACCTGAAGGTAGAAAAGGCTTTTTCAGTTTCTACAACCTAATAATGTAAAGAATATAGAATAGATATCTCACGTTTCCAAACCAGCATCCTCCATCCATACACGAATCAGGTTTGCTGCTTTAACAGAAGCAGGACTCTGGAAAGTCCTTTCGAGATAATCATCAGCATCACTAATCTGCATGGAAGGGAAATGTGCAGCCATCAGCATTTTCGACTATGATATCTGTTGTTATGACAAATAATTTATCAGACAAATTCAATAGTCTGCACATGTTGACTAAAAATTCATGACTTCGCGGCTAGACACTGTACGAGTTGAGGTGCTGTGCATCCGGTTTTAAGAGATTTACAATTCAACCACTTTCCTAAACTGTAAATACTGTTACAAATTCAAGCATGAAGAGCGTCATTCCTATTTCTATGATGTTCTGATCCAATGAGAGAACAAAAATATGACATTTTTTTTCCAATTTTATTTATTGAAAGTCATGGTAATGTCATTCTACCCTAACTTCTTGATATACCGTGATTCAGACTAGCTGAAGCGTAACTAGATTGCTCTGATAATTTCAATGCATACAGAGCATTTCACCGATTTATTACTTCGCATGAAAAAAGAAAAAAAGAGTTATCTTAAGTTCTACTGATCTAGCCAAGAATGATGATTGATGAGATAAAAGTTAGATATGAAAGTCAAGGAAGAAAAAACTAATAACTATAACTGAAACGATAATCCAAGACCACAACATCAATATAGCTCTAATTAACACGCTTATGACAAGATTTGATTGGACCAAATTTGCAACAAAAAGAAAAGTGATGTGGAACCTTGCCAAGCTCATTTAATCTGGCAACTGCTTCATCCCTTAAAATGTCTGGAAACCAAACGATTTTTTCGCCGTTACCTTCTCGATAACCTAATCAGATCATAAAAGTGGTCAAAAGTTAACAATGTGATTTGGTATATAGGAAACAGAAAAATGCAGGGAGCCGGAGCTGGCATCAGAAGTTGGTGATGATGAATCTGCTAATGCAAATATAAATATATATTCTTCTAAATACATTAAGATGAGCAATTAGTGTGAAAAACAGAAAGACCAAGTTCCACCATGTCAATGAATCACTACCGAATGGCGAGACTACTTTATTGCATTCAATCAGTGTGATTTAATTAACCATTATACAAAAAAATGCATACAATAAGTTCCCGTGCAGAAAAACAAAAAACTCCACCCCAATAAACCAGTCCAAAGATGGAGATGAAGTACAATTTTACTTTCTAAGTGGGCAGATGAACTCATGAATCATCATCATCTAATCTATCTCATCAACCATCATCCATATAGAAAAAGGTGACAAAAAAATTACGTTTCCCACGACAATAACAGCACAAGTAATGATAAATCAATCACTACAGTAAATACAAAAAGATCATGAACATTTAGGACCGTTGATTATCAATAATCCACGAAGTTCCATAAGTTTACAATCCCACTATAAGCATGGGCGAATAAAATAAACCCGAACCGATATAGCCTTATCTTTACAAGGGATGTAAGAAAATGCAAAAGGGTTTCCAAATGACGAATGATTAAGCCCAGAATTACAAAAATTGAATCGTAAACATAATCACCAGAGTGTATATCTGAAGAAGCGCAAATTCCAACCAAACAGAGCAATAACAGAACGAGAAAGACACAAACTTTTGGCACCCCTCCCGTTACAATGACTGCATGGGATATGGAAAACGAGAAGAACGAAGCCGCCATAGCTGCCATTTGCGAGCTTTGAAGCAAAATCTGGAAAGGAGAAAAAAAAAAGAAGCGGTGGAAGTAAGCAGCCAGGCCACGGAACTTTCTCTCGGCGGAAAAAGTGTGTGTGTGTGTGTGTGCGCCTGGCTGGCTGGCATGAGTATGCAAAATTTGTTTAAAAGACTCTCAATATATTTGTGTGGCTCGTGACTCGGCTGACACCATTGTCCAAATATGACAAAATCTTACCACCTGATTCCTGCGTGATCCTTTTTAAAAGTTTAGGAATATTCAAGTATATTTATTTAATTGTTTTAGTTAATTTGCATTTTGTAAAATTAGTAAAAAGGAAAAAAAAAAAAACCCCACATGATTGGTTTTGCTAAAGCTTACTTTTATTATGTTTCCCAATTAAGCTAATTTCTTTTTTGATTAGTGGTGTTCATTTGTTCACTAGTGGTCCACTTGGGAATCTCGGATGTATGTTATCCAGCCACTAGGAATCCAATTTTCGAGCAACACTAATTATCTATCCTTCTCCCTTTCCTTATTCTTCAAATGTCCCAAAAAATTAATTCATATTTGGTTTTGAGATTTGTATTAATTTAAATACAAATTTTAAAAACTAATAGACTAATTTTTTGAATTAGTAACTTTAAGAATTTAATATGAATTATTTTTCTTGAACGGAAGAAATATCGAGAATCAAAATGAACCGTATAAATAATTTAAGTATCTTTGATTATTTGAGGAAATTGCTTCTCAGAGTGAATTGAGTAGACCGTCAAAGTATACCCGACTAGAGGAGACTAATCCAATTGAAGTTTCAAATTTTCGATCTCATGAAATATTAGGTAGTTTCATTTTCTTTTCTTTCTTTCTTTCTTTCTTTTTCTTTTTCCCTTTCTTTTTGTTATAATGAAGGAAGTCAATGAACTACTAACCTAAAACAAACTTAATTTACATTACTCGTAAGTGTGAAACACATGATATCTAATGTTTCAGTCTCGAACGCATTTCTAATGGTGGATTAGAAAGCCTTTAGGTATCGAACACAACACATTGCCGAGGCGAGTCTTCTTATTATTACTTTCTCCACCCCAAAATTATTGTCCAGTTTGGATTATTACAAGTGAAAATCTAAACTGGACAATAATTTTGAGACCGAGTGTCATGAACTGGGACTAATTGTAATAGTTTTATAGTTCAGTGACTGTTTTGGTAATTTTCGGAAGTTAGGTCAGACTATATAGGTAGTGGTCAATACTGTAAACGACATCGTGAATCATTTGGAATGAAATTGCATTTCTGAACATTCCCTTTCTTTTTTTTTTTCTCTCTTCCTGAAACCCTAATTCCTCTTTTCTTCTCTCTGAAACTCTGATCTTCTCTCCGTTCTTGTCGCTGTAATTGTTCCGATCGTGACAAATTGGCCTCAGAGCTTGCGTTCCTTGGCCATTCTTCTTCTCTAATCTCCATTTCTTATGTGCTTCTCTGAATTCAGAGTTCGAATTTCTTTGCGAACTGTTTCTGAAATCTCTTCTTCTTCTAATTTTCATCGAATTTATCTTTCCGAATTCGACTCGAATTGTTTCGGATTCTTGTTTCATTTGCATCTCCAACCAGATTCTGAAAACTCTCAATCCTTCAATCAATTCTTGAATCATTTTCTATAATCAACAATTAACATCATGACTAGATCGAGGACTTTCATGGATGAGTCGATTAAAGATCCGGCGCCTCAGATCGGGGATGTCAATAACGGCTTGGAAACCCTAGATTCCAGAATGGCCAATTTAGACTCCGAGATTGATCGCGTCCTTCAAGATCAAAACTCCAAATTGGAGAGGTGGATAGCTCTTATGAAAGAACGCGATGCCATATCTCGTAAGGAAAATGAAGACCGCGATTTAAGAATTGACAAGCTGATGGGGTTGTTTTCCAATCAACAAAACCGAGATCCAGGAAAGCTTCGTTGGCTGAAACTTTGACTCAGGCGGTACCGATGGCTACTCAGACTCAAGTAGTGACAATTCCGTCCAATTGAGTGAGAGTACCACCCAAGCCGAAGACAAAAAAGGGCATTCTGTAGGCTCCTGCTAGTACTAGCGGAACGGTGAACGTGGAGAAAGAGCCAATCTACACATTCTGGAGAGTAAGAGCATCGACATACTTACTGTTGATGCACCTGTTGATAGCCATCAAGACGTTCCTAGGTATAGGAATCATCCAGGGTACATGTGGTACCAGCAACTACGTTTAGACTTGCCGGAGTTTTCTGGTGATGATCCTCAGAGTTGGCTGAGAAAGTGCTGGAAATACTTCCTCATCCATCACATTCCGGAGCACGAAAAAGTTGGATTCTGTCGTGCTCTTTCTAGACGGAAAGGCAGATACCTGGTTCCAAAGTATCAAGTTCAGCAGTGGTAAGCTTTCTTAGTCAGATTTTTCAGAAGCTCTCATTCAGCGTTTTGGTAATAGTGGTGGTAAAAACTGCATTGAAGAATTTAGTAAATTAGTACAAAAGGATCCTGTTTCTAATTACTAGGAGCAATTTGAAGAGTTACGTTCTAGACTGTTATTTCAGGATTATGAGTTTAATGATGCTTATTACATTTTGAGTTTTATTAGCGGTCTGAAAGAGGAATTGAAACTTACTGTTAGGATGTGGAATCCTAAGACTTAAGCTGCTGCATTTGATATTGCTAGATAGGGGTGTTAAACGAACCGAGTCGAGTTCAAGTACTCGCGAGTAGCTCGGTCCACGACTCGAGCTCGACTCGAGTTTGTCCGAATTCGAGCCGAATTCGAGTAGTATCGTTAGTTAATCGAATCGAGCTCGAGTATTAAATGTTGAGCTCGAAAACTCAACGAGTAGCTCGGCTCGGATATTTAATAATATAATTTTTATTTCTATTTTTAATGTATGTATATAATACAATTATTTTAGAATATTCTACCAACACTTTACACTTGTCCAAGTATTTGTATTGTGTTTTGTCGATCAAAGCATCCCACCAACCCATCTTCACCTTCTCTCTCCTCCTTCTCATCTATTTTTCTACTTCCTGGATCTAATTTCACTCTTCTAATTTTTCATCCTCTTTCTCCTCCTTCAGATAAAAAAATCGGCCAACCTTCCTCTTTCTCTCTCCTCCCTCTTCCCCATTCCCATCTTTTTTCTCCCCATTCTCGCTTTTCATCTTCAATCAACAGCCCATCTCCCTTCATCTTAACAGATCTAATACTATATTGCATTCTCTTCACTCTTTCACTTATCATCTTCCATTCTTTTTTCATTATTCCCTTTTATTTCTTAAGTCATTTGGTCAAATTAATCTTTGATAAAAATTCAAATTTCAGTGCTAAATAAAAAATACATTTTAGATTTTGGTTTTCTCTCTCGCAACAATTTGCATAGTAGTATATGTTCTTAGTTCAAACTTCATTGAAAAAA